TCTTTATATACTCAATTGACAGGACTTAGAGCACATTAGAGCAATAAAGAAACATGGATGAAAGAAAAGAGTGTGATGTGGTTGATATTAAAATGAGTTATTCAAAGCACAATAAACCATGAAAGAGAACTGAATCCTGGAACGCGAACACACAAAGTACATTTAGCTTGAAAAAAAAAATCTATGTATATTTTATTCATGCAGTGTATTTTACATTTGATTATTTTATTTAATTTCTGTAATATTTCTTACTACATGTTAAATAAACCTAGCCTACTGTAGCTGAATAAATTAATTAATAATAAAGTTTATTTCATATTTATTTGTTCTGTTGTACTTGTAATTTGCTTCTTTTTCTTAATTTTAATAACAAAAATAAAATAAAAATAGCTATATCGAGGTATATATTGTTATCATGAAATAAAATTTCTCATACCGTGAAATAAGATTTTGGTCATATCGCCCACCCTTAGTAGTAGTGATGCCTGGCTTAGTAAACACTACCAATGAAACCCCAGAGAGCTCACAGACATGAAATACATGTCATACTAGAGCTGAGCTGTATACTTTATAACGATGGAAAGTTACATGGCAAGTTTGGAAAGTCACACAATGGTTTGACTCCATGTGATCACAATTTTCTTGTAATGACTTTGAAATGAATTCTTTAATTTATTCCCACAAAGTATCAAGAGGATATCAGCAGAGATGAGTGCCAAAGCAGTGCCAGAAATGCTACATCGAGCATTCTTTAGTCAGCATATCATTCTCAAGAGACCGGGAAAATGCAGTCAGTGTCACATTTCATGTTTTAGACTTCTATGAATATGAGATAAGATGTGGAGATGCTTTAAGAAAAAATGTTTTGCCCTACACACTTCTGGCAAGCAAAAATCTTAGTTTAAACAGGGGCAACAAAGTGAAATATATATTTAAAAAAATGCTAACTAGATGCAACCAACAGAACAAATAAACAAATCTTATGAAATCCCAAATGTATTTGGCAGCAAGTCAACAGATGAGAACTTTATATAAAAACAACACTGCATCGTTGTCAAAAGGTTATTCTAAGGTCACAGTGCATAAAATTCAGAGACAACAAACATGACCTTAAATTTACCTTTCTGAGCAATCTCAGGTCTGCATATTTTTTTAACATTACATCATGCATTTGCAGAAAGACCTTTTATGATACTTTTATGGTGCTTTTTGCCCTTTTTGGACCTTGACAGTCCCAACTCTAATCCACTTTCATTGTATGGAAAGGAGCAGCTTGGACAGTCTGCTAAACATCTTCCTTTTTGTTTCACATAGGAAACAAAGTAATTTGGATTTGGAACAACATTCAGGTGAGTAATTTTTATTTTATTTTTTTAAAGGCTAATTTCCTGGATGAACTATCCCTTTAATGCCAGTGTAGGCCTTTAGTTTAAACAGATTAGCATCTCCATAGGCATATTACTACAAGCAAAAAACAGCAGAAGCCAGCAAAGGTTGGACTTTTTGATACAGTTAATGAAGGTACTGAGATTGTGTTCAGTGAATGACAGATGGGTCATGTTTCATGATAGATGCAACACCATACAAAAACTAGAACAAGCAACTACACTGTAAGTGTGTGGCGTTGGTTTTCTTTACGGGAAATGAAAGCTGAAATCAGAAGTCAGGGTGCAGAGCAGTATAGTTTTGTCCAAAAGTTATCTTACAATAACTAACTATTCAATACTTTGACAAATGACTTAACATATCCTACTCGTAATTAGGGCCACTTGATATACTGATTTTTAACTATGTATTTGCAATTATAATGCTGGTGAAGAAAAATTAATCAAACTTGTGAATACTGCGATGTCTGCTTAACACTAGACTAATTAAACTAACTAAGATCCTTCGCTGTCTCATGACTTGCATATGTCAGTGCAAATGTCAGTGATTTTTTATTTATTTATTTTTTGTCCATACAGTGGAAGTCAATATTCAAAAATCCATTTTGTTACCAAGATTCTTCAGGACATCTTATTTTGTCTTCCACAGAAGAAACGCATACAGGTTTGGAATGACATAAGGGTGAGTAAATGATTATGGAGTCCCTTTAAGACAGAGACATTTTAATAGCATTTCTGAAATGTTTTATTAAAAATATGTATTACATATGTGACCCTGGACCACAAAAGCAGTCATAAGTAGCACAGGTATATAGGTAGCAATAGCCAAAAATACATTGTATTGGTCAAAATTATTGATTTTTCTTTTATGCCAAAAATCATTAGGATATTACAGTTTTTCTCGATTGCCAACACACTATAACTGATTCGTTTGGCACAATTTTCCAAACCATTCTTACAGTTCCTGAAACAAAGACACGTTTCTCAAAACTTTTAACACATTTCAACTGTTTTCACACACTCTCCAATTTGCTGAGTGTTTTCAGCTAAACTCTACACAAGAACGCCATCATTTTGCACAGGTTTAACCATGTTCTCATTTAGAAAACACAAACACACAATATAACTACCTCAAGAATCACAAAATGAACACAAATAGCACACATTTATCCATGTGTGAACATTAAGCAGCAAAACTGATGACGCAGCAGTCAGAATCTCAGGATGATATAAAAAGGAGCACAGCTGATTATGTGATTTGGAAAATGAATCCTACAAGTGGGAGACTAGGAGGAAGAGGAGGGTAAAAGAAAACTGAAGGGGACGGGGTTAAAGGACATGTATTCCTGATGAAATACACAGCACTATAGTTGATCATGTTCTTCTGCATGAGGACAGCTGGCCTACAGGCTCATCTACAGGCTTTCAATACTACTTACAGATAAAATATAATGACAGAACAGTAGCAGTACTTCAATTGAGAGAACTTGTACTTTTTATATATACAGTATGTACAGTAAATACTGAAGCACAAGTTGTACACCCTCAAACTCATAACTGCTGAACTGATTTGTAGCCAAGTACAGTACTTCTTACATGTACTGTATTTTTGCAGAACTAAGAGATGACTCTATATTCTGTTGTGTTCATATGTAATTCTTTGGTATCTGACCTTTTCCTTTCTACAGTAGTGCTTTTCATCTACTGTACTGTAAGATCTCTTTACAGCAGTGTAATGAAAATAATCTTTTCTTACTGTAACGCTTATTGTTGAATTTCACTGCATCTGCTATATTTACTGTAACATGTATCTGCTCTAATTATGTTGTATACTGTAATAGACATTGAGCTGTAAAATGATACCTGATTGCCAAAAGAAGGTTTTTGCAACAGTGTTATGAATTGATCTCACTAGTGTGTAAGACTATGTTGTTGTGTGTGTGTTTCTGAGGGTTTGTGTGTCATGTCTGAGGGCGAAGTTTGTTTTTTTCAGCAAGATTGAATAGTTTTGAGTGGAGAGCTTCATTTTGACCTGAAAAAAGGAAGTATGGGGAATTGAGTGAGAAGTTATGGATTTGTGTTTAGAGTTTCGAGAAAAGGAGTTACAATTTCAAGAAATGTGTTTAAGCAATCGAGAAAAACTGTAAGTAAAGATCATGTTCCATGAAGATATTTTGTAAATTTCCTACCATAATTTATATAAAAAATGTATTATCATTAGTAATATGCATTGCTAAGGACTTCAGTTGGACAACTTTAAAGGCGATTTTCTCAATATTTAGATTTTTTTGCACCCTCAGATTCCAGATTTTCAAATAGTTGTATCTCGGCCAAATATTGTCCGATCATAACAAACCATACATCAATGGAAAGCTTATTTATTTTCTTTTGTTTTGGGACAGGGGTGCCCAAACTCGGTCCTGGAGGGCCGGTGTCCTGCAGAGTTTAGCTCCAACCCCAATTAAACACACCTGAACCAGCTAATCAAGCTCTTATAGGCATACTAGAAACTTACCAGCAGGTGTGTTGAGGCAAGTTGGAGCTAAACTCTGCAAGACACCGGCCCTCCAGGACTGAGTTTGGGCACCCCTGTTTTGGGAGGTGTTTATGTGTCTCTGTCTCAGGAAGAAGACTGATTGGTTCCTGCAGTCTAATTGGTGCCACGCCCTCCCCGGTCAGCTGACTCCTAACTGCCTATAAAAGCCTCCTTTGTCACTTCTTGCATCAGCCTTGTGCTCACTTGCTGTGTTTGCTCTGCTTGACCCTGCTAGTTAGTTACAAACGGGTTAGTAAGACAGAGTATCTTTGTGTGTTCATCTGAGTGTTTGCCCGTGAGAGATTGATTGTTGTTTGTTAGTTTTCTTAGCCCACTCATTCATAATAACCCGACCACCGCACATTCTTTGACCTTTATTCTGGATTGGACTGTTTGGACCTGTTTGCTCACCTTTGTAAATAATTGTACATAATGTTCTGGGGAAGCAGGGAGACCGACTCCATTTTTGTTGGAACCTTTTATTGATTGTTTTTGGATAGGGAGGTAGGGAAGTAATTCTCTTCTCTTCTCTTCTCTTCTCTTTCGTGAACAAGCGTAGTTAGAGGTATATGAATTAGTTGGTTTTTGTTTGTTATTTTGGCCTTGTTGGCTCCCGAAGCTAAAATTCCCCAATTGTACTGCAAAACCTTTTGTGCTCATTAAAATACTGCTCATTCACTTTTTTTTTTTTTTGAAAAAACTCTTCCGTGTCATACTCTTTCATATTGCGCCTTTACTCTAGACAGTGCGTAACAATACTGAATATGAGGTTTTTTGCCTCCCACTCTCCACTGAAGCTGTACATTGACTTTGACCCTAGAGCTTCTCTTCTCTTCTCTTCTCTTCTCTTTCGTGAACAAGCGTAGTTAGAGGTATATGAATTAGTTGGTTTTTGTTTGTTATTTTGGCCTTGTTGGCTCCCGAAGCTAAAATTCCCCAATTGTACTGCAAAACCTTTTGTGCTCATTAAAATACTGCTCATTCACTTTTTTTTTTTTTTTTAAAACTCTTCCGTGTCATACTCTTTCATATTGCGCCTTTACTCTAGACAGTGCGTAACAATACTGAATATAAGGTTTTTTGCCTCCCACTCTCCGCTGAAGCTGTACATTGACTTTGACCCTAGAGCATTGGTCTCAAACTCAGTTCCTGGAGGGCCACAGCTCTGCACAGTTTAGCTCCAACCCTAATCAAACACACTTGATCCAGCTAATCAAGGTCTACAGGATCACTAGAATCTTCCAAGCAGGTGTGATTTGGAGCTGGTTGGAGCTAAACTCTGCAGAGCTGTGGCCCTCTAGGAATTGGGTTTGAGACCACTGCCCTAGAGGCAGCGAGGGGGAGAAAGAGAAGCAGGAGGAGGGACAAGAGCATGGAGGGAAACGAGAAACAGACAGAGCTTGTGCTCTTTTTCAGGGCTGAGAGCGAGGAGCCTGGGAACGTGGAGCAGTTTGGCCAGCCTGATAGAAATATCCTGAGTTGAAATGTAAACAGGCCTGATCTCTGATCTACCCGGAGAGCCCCTGATCTGACCCGGCATTCCACCCAGGGGTTCAACGCTGACATCAGGAGCCCACTTTCTCATTTCCTGGGCTGGACGCTGACCCCTCGGGAAAGTGGGGTGTGTTTGAAATCAAATCATTCTCCTATGCCCAAGACACCCCTACTATCACTTATAATAAATTATGAATTTCAGATAAGTTGAGTAAACTTCGTTTTTAACTGCTCCATTCTTCAATAAAAGCCTCTTTGCAAAGCCTGCATTACATTTCGACACCATTACAAAACAATTTTGCACTGAAAACTGCCATGCAAACTGTTTAGATCAGATTGAAATGATCAGGGATCTGCAGGACATGCAGAGCAGCAGGTGCTACACACTAGGCTTGCTCACGCACGTAGACGGTGCTCACGGTGATACCGTTGTTAAGCTGCAACACTGGTTACGTCACTTGTCCACCGCGGCACTGACCCCCACCGTCGTTTTGAAGAATCATTTAGTTCAGTAAAACCAAGCAATTGATGCCGAATTGCCGCTAATTCAAAAGTGAAAGTACAATACGCACGGTGCTTTTAAGCTATTTAAAAGCGAGTAAAAGAGGGAAAATTCAAACAAACTAAAAACGAACAATTGCTTTACACTGAATTGCCGCTATTTGAAAGTGAGAGTAAAATGCGCACGCAGCTTTTACAAGCTATTTAAAAGCGAAGGAAAGCGAGGAAAAGAGGGAACGCCCCTGCCCCCATGGTGATACTGGTATTATCGGTGTTGGTATTATCACACGTCGATTAACCAGTGTGAAAATTTCCTCACCGTCACAACCTTACTACACACAGGAAGAAACGGCACAGGTTGACAATCTTTCCCATCTATAACTGTCAGTTCTCCTGTCGTTTAGGAATAATAGCATCAATCTTTCTCCCTATTACTTCTACAGCACTGCGATAGCAAAGTTTCTGATCACTCAAAATGCATCATTGATGAATTATATATAATTTTTATATTGGTCATTTATCATTTCACCACAATGAAATGCTTATTGGTATCGGTCAATGCATCCCTAATGATAATTTTACACCATGTTATTATTTAATCTTTCTATCTCGAAAATTGGAGATGGAGATAACAGTAGGTAATTTGCTTTGTAATTTTTACAGAGGTTGTGTGTGAAAACCAATTAAAATCACTAACTATGTCAGTGAAGCACAAATGCATCTAACCCTCTCAGGGAGAGCTAGCGGTTAGTCAGTGTTTTTATTTTTATTAAAGGCAGCTGTTAATGGTTAGATCATGACAAAACCTTGATAATGGGGCTAATCTAATGTTGTTTACAGTAAAATTATGTAATGATGGAAAGTGAAAGGTAAGTGATAACGGAATATTTGAGTCATATCGTTCATTTATGCAACTCCCACGTACTGTATGTGGAACTGAACATTCACAAAGACATATATTGTAAGATGGGGGTTTTTGTGGGTTGTTGTTTTTGCAGGAAAGAGTCACAGATTTTTATCATCCACTCAGGGCCCTTGCATACACACTTGAGGATGCAGTTTCCCACAAGGGTTGGATTTCAGGTGAGTTCAACAGAGCACAAGACTTGTCGAAAGATATAGTGAACCACCCCCTCTAACACTTCACCTCCTTATTCTGCTCAGTTCTATTTAGTTGGGCAGGAAAAACCTGACAGACATCAGAGTGCTCTGTGTGCTTTCTCTGTGCTAGAGAAATCATATCAAGCCTGAATGTGTCTCACAATTCACAACCATTGGCTGGTGCAAAGAAAAGTCAACACAGCTCTTCCCCACTCTGCATTCCTGCAGGAATATTCCCCACATTGCATTAGAAACAAATTATATAATATGCAACTGCAAGAAAAAATAAAAATAAAATAATTAATAATAATAATAATAATAATTTTTGCTATTCACCTAATAATAATAATAATAATAATAGTAATAATAATAATACAAATTGGTATAAATTCACTGAATTGGTATCAGTAATGGTGATACTGGCCTTGATAGTACTTGGTAAAAAGATGCCATTACATAAATATTATTTAATATTCTACATAAATTTGGGCATTGCTTGTGCAAGTATTTTTATGCTTAATCACAGAAAACTAATTATTTTTTAAAAATTCTAAAAATAAAAATGATTAATTCATAGCCCTACTTTTGATCAACTGGTGTCAAGGTGATTTTTCAACGGCCTAGAAAGTGCTTTCAGTTTCATCGTTTCCCTTGGTTAACTATAATAAAATAAAACTCAGAATTTAGGTAACAGAGGCTGATACTATACGCTGAGGGGGTGATTTCTGCCCGCAGCTATTATGTTGTGCAAATGGAGGTAGGGATGTATATGCCGAATGGTTTCAGCACTCTTCAAAGCCCCAGTCATGTCTCAGACTGTGAATAAAACATGAGGTACACACAAGGCGCACCCCACAAAGAAACCGCTAGGAGAGCCAGCGCGGATGAGGAGGGAATGCTTTTGATTTAAGCAGCATGAGCACTCCTACTTGAGTTTCCTAAAGTTGTCTTCTATTTATGTCTCAACCTTCCACTTGTACAATTTTATCTTGTTTTATAGGTCACATTTAATTCGTATAAATCATTTGTTGCTGCACATAACTCGGATTAAAATGATCAACAAGCCCTCTATCCTTCAAAATACTTAAGACGGCGCACCCACAGATCACCCGCAATCTGTCTGCTGGCTGTCGGAGGCATAGCGCACACAGAAAATGGCAAGAGTTGACTGAAAATCGAATCTGACGGTCCTAACACAACTTCCAAAAGACAGAATGCACCAGTCCGTCTGGAAACAATGTCATCTTTATGAAGTATCAGGTTGATAAAATGAGTGCTTTTGAGAATTGTCTTATTGGTTTGGATGAAGATTGAAAGATTAGTGGCATCAAATCTTTAAAAGACACTGAAGAGTGTCACAAAATCGCCCCAAAAGCAAAACAAACTTTGGTTGCTGATTTTACATGTCAGTCAGAAAACACGTCATGTCAAAGTGGACGGTTCTTATAAACTGCAAACTGGACCACACTTTATGCTGACAGTCAAAAATTTGTGTCCATCCTTGACTTTCTAACCAATTGATTACGCTTTCTGCCAAAATGTGAGTGTGCTCATTTAGGACTAGTTCATTTTTATTTCAACATGAATATCAACCATGGGACAAACTGTCCAGGGACCCATTCATATTCCCCAAGTAAGGCAAAGACAGATGTGCTGGGCTTAAAGTGGCCTCCAAGGAGCCGGACTGATTGTTCCACATTCAGGTGGAGTGAATCGACGCCACCTTCAGCTTCAACTATAGCCAAGTAACACCAGGAAACACTTTGACATTTCCTTCTTCCACCTATTATTTGTAATGCCTGCCTCTCATGCTTAATTATTCCAATTATGTTGCTACATCCTTAAACATTGGTTTAGAGGTTTAGTCTTTCCAATAAGCATTGCTAAAGCCCGAGATACACTGCACAATTTTAGCAATCCTGTAAGATCATTACTTTATCACACTGTGCGACATGGACCGTTTAAACTTGGGTACGACAAGCATGTAGACTGTACGATGATGACACCTATTGAATCGTAGGCTGCGACGGCTGCGACACACGTTAGCACAACGTCATCAGCATGCACTAGTGGTAAACAAATACCGGTAAATCAAGATGGGTCGCGCTTTGGCAGTTGTGCTTTTCATGTGCGCTGAAACAAAGAAGTGGCGCCGGCGGAAGAGGGCAATATGGACCCTCTCATGGCTCGGGAAAAGAGGACAACTTGGGATGCCAGTTTTGCACAGGGAGCTTGGCAGCTGCAGTTCCTCCGCGATCTCCTTCCATGCTATGTTCTTTTCGGTGCGGTCATGA